CAATCCTCAGAACCTTGGCCTTTTGGAGTAGGAGGCATGCAAGGAATTCTGGATGCTGGTGATTGGATGTGTGTCATGAGTGTGCTATGTCGGAAACATAGGCTAACTCATTTGTATCATCTACAGTGTCAAAACTTATTAACCAGTGATAAATTTACAAGGTGTGATAGTTTCGTTGGCTGCAGTTTTCCACGTAGTCCTGCTTTCTTTAGTAACTGGCTCAGTCAAACTCAGGTTCTTCTGTATGCTTATAAATATGTTCATGTGTGCATTCACATGTATATATGTTGATGGAGGTCAGAGGTTGATATCAGATGCCTTTTTTGCTTGTTCTCCACTATATTTTTTTGAGACAGAGTCTCTCATTAAAACTTGAGATTATGGGTTTGACTAGATTGTCTGGTCAGTGAGCTCCTGGGAAACCTCTTTTATCTGCCTCTTGGTCTTGTGATTACAGGTGCATAGAGTGCATGCATGTGTGCATGTGTGCGTGCGTGTGTGCATGCGTTCGTATATATAGGTTGCAGAAGTCTCTGTAGGGTCAGATAGCCCTGCAGGAGGTCTGCTGAAGATGCTGATGCTGTCAATCAGGCCTGGTTCTGAGTCACAGGGCCTGCTGACTTTTGGTATTTGGTCCCCTGGTAGGCAGTTTAATGCTGGCTGGATGGGAAGGTGGGAGGGTCTGTGAAGGGATGTGGACTGGGTAAGGTAATCTGGGGTGGAATAGTTCATGAGCTTGACTGAGGAGTCATCACAGTGATACCAGCTCAGCAGGGAGGTCTGGTGCTGAGCAGAGCAGCACAGCAGTTTCCACCCGTGAGGCTGCAGACCACAGACAGGCCTGAGAGGATCAGCACACCTGGATGTGCCTGAGAGCAGCTGCCTTTGATTCCACTGTGGGTACCTGCCCAGGGGGTAGGCAAGGCATAGCTTCTCCCCTAGCAGCAAGCCTATAACCAAAGGTCAGATGCCACCTAGTGGAACAGGTGACTTCCCTTCTCTGTCTACACTAGAACTCTTTCTGCTCCACGGTAAAGTGGGGTGAACAAGGACAAGTGATATGGAAGGGTCTCCCCAAAGATGCTGAAGTAGTTATGGCAGAAACCTTCATGTTTCTCTCTGTGGTCTGTTGCCCTGGCCCTGGGCCCTCAGCACTATCATGGCTACTGAGTGGGCTCTTCTGTTGTTACAACACAGACATGGACCTGCTTGAGGGGTGAGGCTCTGGCCTTCTAGACTGATTGTCCTCCTCCCCAGCGTCTACCCTAAATCTACATGAGGGCTCCAAGACAGAGAATGTGCCCTATTCTAGTCACCATGGAGAATGCGGGGCAGAGGGTGGGCTTGACTCCAGCAGGGGATATGCTTGTTGAGAATGCCAGCAGGCATGGGCCTTCTGCTTGGGTCCTCCCTAGACTGAACAGTGAACTCAGGCATTTCTGCATACGTATATGCATGCACATACAATAGAAATGCACGCATATAGATGCATATGTACAATGCATGCACACACAGGTCATGTGCACACTTGCCCATGCACACTTGGGTGTTTGCTGACTTTGGCAGAGAAGAGGGAGGTAGGTGGGCCAAGGAGACCACACGTAACCCTCTTGCTCTTGAGGCTGGGTTCATTCCTGGGTCATGGGTTGCAGCCTGGGAGCCTATAACAGATGGGGCTCTCCTGACGACCCTAGGCTACTGTCAGCTTCTCTGCACCTTGTTTGTGCCAAGCCTCTTTCTAGCGTGGTGAGAACATTTCACTCTGAGGTCAGCTCGTGTGTAGTAAGGTTCTGATCCAGAATCAGCCCTTCACCTTGCTTCCTTGTCTTGTATACATTTTGCTTCTTGGAAGTGACATTATCCAGTTCCCCAAATTCAGTACCTGGCCGGGTTGCTGAGATGAACAGTGATAGTTACAAGCCGCAGTAGGGGCTGACGGGAACACAGGGAGGCTGTTCGCCAATCACGCACAATTGCACAAAGGACTTTAGAAGCTTTGGATCTGAGAGGTGTTCACCCTCAGCAAGGTGTCCCCTCTGACTGCTGCCACTGTACCTTGCCTTCCCCACCTCCCATACTCATCTTGCTGGAAAGCTTGTGGGTTGAGGTCAGAAGGGAACTATGGTTGTGTTGACCTGGGTGACCACCCTAAGCTTGGTGACAGGTAAAGTGGCCCTTACCATTGGTGAGTGCCCAGCACAGTCTACTGGGTGGCCAGCAGTTTGTCTCTGCTTTGAGAAGCCATGCCCCTTCCAGGAGAAGGGGGTCACAGAAGGAAGCTGTTTCTGTCAACTGGGAAATAGGTGTGCCTATGGCTGCCCCTTCTTCCTTGGGGAATGTCAGGGGCCCTGGCACCTAGGAGGAGAAGCTAGTGGCACCACAAGCCAGATCGGGGTCCTGGGTGTCAGAGAGTGTGAGTTGACAGCTTCAGCCTCGGAGAGCCACGGCCATGTAGAGGAGAGGACAGGGACAGGAGCTATGCTGTGGGAAGAGAGGAATGAATGTGTCTCTCATCTGTCACCCTGTCCTTTTCCTTCCTTCCTTCCTTCCTTCCTTCCTCCCTCCCTCCCTCCCTCCTTCCCTCCTTCCCTCCCTCCCTCCCTTCCTTCCTCTTCCTTCCTTTCTTTCTTTCTTTCTTTCCTTTTTTTTTTTTGGGGGGCAGGGTTTCTCTGTGTACCACTGGATGTCATGGAACTCGCTCTATAGACTAGCCTGGCCTCAAACTCAGAGATCCATCTGCTTCTGTCTCCCTCGTGCTGGGATTAAAGGCATGCACTACTACCACCCAGCCCACCCTGTCTTTTTTTTTTTTAAATTATTTTAAACTTATTTCATTTGTCCATGCGTGTGGAGGTCGGGACAGCTTGCAGGGTCTGGGTCTTTCCATGATGTGGGCCCCAGCATTCAGACACTGTTGTTGGCTTTACGTGCTGAGCCATCTCAGTTGTGTAGTGTGCATATGTGCATGCGTGCTTGCGCACATGGATTAGTGTTTGTGAATGTGGGTGTGCCATGATACATATGCGTAGGTCAGAAGACAGCCTTGGACATTGGTCCTGTTGAAGACATGGTCTCTTTGTTGTTATTCTGTGTTCAGCCCAGCTGGCCTATGAGCTTGCTCAGTAGTAAGCTTCGAGGGCCTCTCTTATCTCCACCTCCTGTTGTGGTAGGAGTGCTGGGGTTATAGATGTGTGCTCCTGCATCTGGCCTCAAGTGAGCTCTGATGAGCTGAACTCAGGCCATTATGCTTGCACGGTAGACCTTTACCCACTGAGGCATCTTCCAGACCCCAGCTACAAATCTTGTTCGTATCTCATCACAGCGTCTCTGTGTCACAGCCCTCCTGAGTGTGGAAGTAGCTTGAGAAGTCAGTCCAGGTGTGGAGGGGAAGGTGGCACCCGGAGCCTTTCTCTCTCCGCCTAGAGGATGTCATCACCCACGTAAAGCGGAGGATGCTGTGTCTGCATCTAGACCAGGGCCTTTTGGCTGTCTACAGAATTCCTTGGGAAAGTTTGATACCCATCTTGACCAGGCACTACAGCTGACTGTGAGGTGCTGTGCAAATTCTGAGTGGTGACCCTGGGAGTTCAAGTCCCATGAGGGGCTTCTTGGCCACAACTGGGGTTCCTCTTCCCCTTCCAGTACTTTTGGCTGGTTGGGAGGTTCAGGGCTGGTGCATGTCTGTGACAAAGGCCCTCTAGTTAAAGAAAAGCCTCCCTGAGGCCTGGCCTTGTAGAGCAAAAGGGAAGGGACAGTGAAGGGGGACACTGAGGGAAAGGAAAAGGAAAATACAAATAGTGGCCAGAAGTTCCCTTATGTTTAACACACTGTGGTGTAAACACAGCCACATGCATGAGGGGGAGAGCATGGGCCAGGTGTCAATTTTGTGCTGTGTGTGCATGTGTGCACACAGGTGAACAGCATCACAGTAAATCTGGGTTGGTACATTTGGGTACGTTTCACGCTCTTGGATCTTATTTCCTTCTGGTAATAGAGGTTGAACCAGGGCCTTGTGCATGCAAGGCAGATGTTCTCCCTCTGAGCCATGTATCCTCAGCCCTCTCCCATGTCTTTCTCCTTGCGGTCATGAGCATCCTTTACCAAAGCATGCTGGGGCTTTCCTGCTTTCCCTTCCTCTCTCTGAATCCTGGACTGTCAGGTCTAAGGGAAGAGTCCGTCATACCTCAGAGCCTAGGGAACCTTTGTGCTAAGGCCCAGAGTGGTGGGCCTCCTGTGCATGCGTAGAAAAAGAAGCCAGCCAGTGAGGCTTCAGCAGAGAGACAGTGGGCAGGCATCTGGCCTGAGGGAAGGGACAGGGAGCCTGAGTTCTACTTAGAGTTCGGTTATTGTAGGACCGGAATGCCTATGAGTTCAGTGGAAAGGAGGCCTCTGAGCTGAGGAAATGGGTGTTCCCCAGTGTTACAGAAACGGGGCTGAGGGGGCAGGACTGGAGGATTGACCCCAGGCCCTGCCAGTCCTTCTCACTTTAGTGGAGGGAAATTAGCGTCTTATTCTGGGCTACTTCCTTCAGTGGCCATCTTTGTCACTTCTGTTTAGACTTGTGAATTAAACACTTTTCTCATATACAATCTCATTACATAACTCAGGCTTATATCAAATACAGTCTTCCTGCCTCAGCCTCCCTCGTGCTGGGCTGGCAGGTGTGTGCCACCAGGCCTGACTTATATAATCCCCCCCTCCCAAGAGTTTTTCTGTCATCCCAGGGCCCTGCGCCTCTCTCTTCCTCTTACCTGTGATCCTAATGTGAATCTTTTGTATAGGATGAGTTAAGTGACCTGGCTCTGGTTGTATTCCTAAAGGTTCTTATATAGAAATCTGACGACATGGCAACTTCTTGGGGTAGAAGAGTTCAGGTTAGGGACTCAGCCCTGGGGATCATCCCAACGGCAGCCCACCCTGTAGGAACAAGGTCAGTGGTTACTGTGTCTCCACCAGCAGTCACCAGTTCCTCATGCTCCTGGCACATCTCTCTCCTGCAGAGGTCAGACCCACAGCTGCTGGCCCAGTTCTACTACGCTGATGAGGAGCTGAACCAGGTGGCTGCAGAGCTGGACAGCCTGGATGGGCGGAAGGAGCCCCAGCGGTGCACACTGCTCGTCAGCCAGTTCCGCTCCTGCCAGGTGAGTGGGCAGGTGGGGGCATCGGGGTATGCGTCTTCATCTTGGGGGGGGGGTCTTGGGGGGGAAGATTCTTGCTTAGATGGATGTTGTGACCTGTCCTTGGTAAGTATGTACCTTTGCCATCTGATCACGCCCGGAAGGATTGTAATCAGGGCCCTGGAGGTAATGAAGAAACTAGACCCAAGAGGAGCGTTTTTGGGCAGGGTGATGTGGGATTGGGAGATAGACATAGTACAAGTGCTAACTGTACTGGGCATTTGGGAAGAGCAGAAGCTGAGGGCCAGGAGCTGATAGGGAGGTTCTTGCTCTGGCTGCCCTGGGTAATGTGTGCATAGCTAGTGGGGGACGTGACTGCACTTGGCTGCTGACTCATGGTGCTGGGAGCATTTGCTGCATAATTCAGAGACAGCCCTGGAAGCTGCTGCTAAAAATACCTTGCCAGCAGCATTTTCTTCCAGTGCAGCAAGCGTTCACGAGGCGTTTCCAGCAGGGACAAAGTTTTGTCAAGTGACAAGCACAGCCTTTCAGAAAGTTCAGGAACCTTCTTTGTGAGTTCTGGCTGGGTCCTCTGTTCTGGGAGGTGCGGCTGGTGCATGCTCACCTGACAGCCAGCCCATTTCTGTCACTGTGGTCCTCGGGCCTTGCTGCACTTGCTCTCCACCAGATAGCCAGGGTGATCATCTCCAGGCGCTCGTTCCCATGTTCTTGTCTATGGCCTCTTCCCACGGAGCTCCGGTGTAAAGACCCTGCCTGTGCGTCATAATCTGCTCCTTCTTTGGGGTCTGTGGCTCTGAGATGTTCAACACAGCCGCCACCTACCACGTGTCTGTCTGGAAGTTCTAGGCTTCTCCAGGGCCAGCTTCCCTGTTTCCAGGAGCTCCTGCTGGAAACAACAGTTACTAGGGAGCCACCTGCAGGACAGATGCTCAGAGGGGCTGAAGGCTCCTTCCTCCTGCTCCTATCTGTTGGGAAGGAGGGCAGCTGTGGGTACTTTGGGATATGGCTGTGACCAGCTTAATGTCTCTCTCTGACTAGCTAGGTATGCATTGATGTCAGTGACTATTATTTTAGGTAGATTGGGGAAAGGAATGTCAAGCTGGTGGTCTCTTCTTAGGTCAAGGGTGAGGGCTCATCACGGTGAGCCTTGTGCTGTGAGAAGGGTCTGGGGGAACACTTAGGTCTAGGCCTTTTCTTAAGGACACACCTCCTTTCCTTATCTTACGGTCTGGGTGGGAAGCATGGGGACAAGAGATTGTGCACAGCCCTCAGCACTATTCCTTGTTACTTGGCTCCCAGGACCCTGTTCCCTGTCTTACCTCACAACCACAACCACACCTCCTTCCCTTCCTAGCCTCTTAGGTTCAGGATTCAGCTCTCTCTTTTTCTTAGCTCCTCTATGGCCATTCTATCTGTGTTGACTCAGTTTCTCCCCTGCCCCATCCAGACATCTACGGCAGTGCTTCCTAGCCCCACTGGTACCTGTTAGATGGCTTAGGCCCAGCATGTGTAGCTTGGAGGCTCCAGTTCCCATCCTCAGCACCTTGTGCAAGTTTTGCCTGTGAACCCAGCATTTCATGTCTCTTCATGGTGTTCCAGCTGGCACTACTTTATCGAGTTTAGCCTGTGAGTGCTTGGTGCTGCTCTGTAGAAAGAGAATGGATTTCTATAAACTGATCTTGTGACCTGAGGCCTTTTCGAGGGAATGCAGGTCACACTGCACTATTCCTGCTGCTTTCTGCCCTCCCATCTTATCGAATCCCTTACCACTCTGACAATAGAAGCATAGTATTCCGCCCTACCATATGGGTGCCCTCAGTTCAGCGGTTCCAGTGCTTCCTGAAGACAGTGTCAGAGTTCAGGTGAGTGCTTCCTTTATCTGTGATATTTATGACAAAGGAGGCAGGTGTCCGTGTGTGTAGATCAGGGCGATATCCGGACATGATCTGAACAGGGCACCCCTGTCTCTGTGGAGTTGGAAAATACTACCATCCTAGATTGCAGATGAGCTTACCAGCCCAGAAGCCCTCTGAACCCTGTCTGTCCTTTGGTTTCCTGCACAGGTGTGACTGATGCCCTCTCCTGAGCCCTAGAGTGACTAGTCCCATCCTGAGGCTGCTCTGAGCCTGGCTACCTGTTATCTCATTAACATAGGCAAAGACTCTATTACCTCAGAAACTGCAAGGGTTTTAGGGATTGTATGCCAAGAAACTGAAAGAACACACACACACACACACACACACACACACACACACACATTACAGTTTTAAGCTGGGAGTCTCTATGTTGCTTAAGCTGGACTTGAACTCCTGGGATCAAGAGATATTTCTGCCTCAGCAAGTAGCTGGACTGTGCCTGGTTCCAAAATGCATTTCATGGATCACTTTCTAATTCATGTACTAGTTTTGACAGTGTTCTTTAGAGTCTAATAGATATTGTATAAATGTTTTCTGCAGATAAAGGTTTGTGCTTCTTTAAAATTTTATTTTTATTAGATTGTGTGCATGCATGTGTAACTGTGTGGGTGTGTGCACATGAGTACAGGCCAGAAGAGGGTGTCAGATCCCCCTGTAGCTGAACTACAGGCAATTGTTAGCTGCCTTGTGAGGGTGCAGAGAATTGAACTCGGGTTCTCTGTAAGTGCAGCATGCACTTTTAACTTCTGAATCATCTCTCCAACCCCAGACTTTTACTTCTCTCTTCATTTTTGTGTTGTGTGCCATACCCTGCTCCCTGAGACCCTCCTGGAGTTTAGTGCTGGGCATACATGCTGAACAGACTTGTTCTTACCTTGGACAGTCAGTGGTCAGTCCTTTGTCATCAAGCGTATTGCTGTAGGATTTCTGCAGAACCCCTTTACCATGACAAGGAAGTTGCCTTCTATTTATAGCTTGCCAAGGGCTCTTACCAGGAATGGATGTTGGAGTTTTGTCGAATATTTTCTTTGTGGCTATTGGGATATCTAGTTTCTTATGGTAAATGGTATTGACTACCTTTACGTTTTTCCATTTTATTCTTGCCGTTGCCCAGTATCAGCTGCATGCGTGTGCTGCGAGGCAGAGCTCTGTCTGTGACGTCCACTAGTTCACCCCCAGTTCCTAGCACACAGTGAGCACTCAGTTTATCGTAGAAACGGGGTGGGTACTGAGTGACTGATCTAAAATGCTACCTTTTCCTCTTCTTCCGTGACTCTCTTTCTCACCTCTTTATTTCATTTCCTCTCTTTGTTTTTTTTCATGTGCGTTGTGAGATGGGGTTTTCCTTAGCCCGGTTGGGCTTGAACTCATAGCCCTCTTGTCTCAGACATCCAAGTATAGTTGTGCACCACCATGGCTCCTGCTTCCTTCTTTACTGATATGCCTTATCCACTTTCTGATAACCATCAGGGCATCACATAAATGGCAGTAAGCTGTGCCAAACTGCTGAAAGTTTGATACCATGCCAGTCCATACACGCAGGCTTCTCGCCATTTCTGTAGTTAGTTACAATTATGTAGCTTTGGAAGAGATCTTGCACTCCTCTGGTCCTGCCAGACAAGATGACTCCTGTATTGCATTATTACATATATATTAACAACAAAAAACAATGGCATTGCTAGGTGCCTCTAAGTCAGAGGGCCATGGCTGTTAGAGTGGTGGAAGGTACCATTCAGTTCCCCAGGAGAAAGAGGACAGAGGAATCAACTGGGCATTACATAAAGACAGATATTGGCCCTATTCTTTTTTTTTGTTTGTTTTATAAAATAATTTATTTAGCCTGCCAAATGTAAATCTTTTTTTTTAATAATTTTTTTATTAAGAAAAGAAGAAAAAAAACATAAACAAAAAACAAGTTTCCACCTCCTCCCAGCCTCCCATTTCCCTCCCCCTCCTCCCACCCTTCTCCCCCTCCTCCCACCCTTCTACCCCTCCCCCCACTCCTCTCCCCCTCCCTCTCCAGTCCACAGAGCAGTCCAGGTTCCCTGCCCTGTGGTAAGTCCTAGGTCCTCCCCCCTCCGTCCATATCTAGGAAGGTGAACATCCAAACTGGCTAGGCTTCCACAAAGCCAGCACATTAAGTAGGATCAAGACCCCGTGCCATTGTACTTGGCGTCTCATCAGCCCTCATTGTTCGCCATGTTCAGAGAGTCCGGTTTTATCCCATGCTTTTTCGGTCACAGTCCAGCTGGCCTTGGTGAGCTCCCAGTAGATCAGCTCCACTGTCTCAGTGGGTGGGTGCACGCCTCGTGGTCCCGACTTCTTTGCTCATGTTCTCCCTCCTTCTGCTCCTCATTGGGACCTTGGGAGCTCAGTCCAGTGCTCCAGTGTGGGTCTCTGTCTCTGTCTCCATCCATCACCAGATGAAGGTTCTATGATGATATGCAAGATATTCGTCAGTATTGCTCTAGGATAGGGTCATTTCAGGTTCCCAATCCTCAGCTACCCAAGGAACTAACTGGGAACCTCATGTTGGGCACTTGGGAGCCCCTCTAGGGTCAAATCTCTTGCTCACCCTAAAGTGGTTCCCTTAACTAAGAATTGTGGTTCCGTGCTCCCCTATCCACCTTTCCTTTATCCCAATTCTCCTGATTCCCCAAATCCCCCCTCCTTCCCTTCTACCTTTTCTCTCCCCATCTCCCCTTACCCCCATCCCACCCCACCCCCAAGATCCTAATTTTCTCCCCGGCAATTGGGTCTACTTCCCTTAGCCAAGAGGATAACTATATGTTTTTCCTTCTTAACAAAAGTAAACTTTTAAACTGTAGAATGGCTGGGACATAGGAACTCTGTTTAGTGTGTGTAAGGCCAGGGGTTCAATGCCTGTGACCAGCCACAAAATAGGAAAACAAAACATAAGAGGTCAGGCATGCTGCTTAGAAGCACGGAATCTAGAGCTTCTCTCTCTACTGTCATGGTACAGCATGCTTTTTATTCAACCTCCTCAAATTTTGCTAGGAAATTTGTATATAGTATGGCCAGGTATGTTGTCACACACCTGTAACCTGGCACTTGAGAGGTAGAGAAGATTAGGGGTTCAAGGAGAGCCATGGCTGCACAGCAAGTTCGAGGCCAGTCTGGTGTACATAAGTCTCTGCCTCAAAATGAATTTAAAACGATACGAGGTCTCCATCTCTATTCAGGAAGGTTTGGTGTCTGGATAATGCACACCTATAGAATGTGTTGGGAGATGCTCTCATTTCTGCTTTGTGTCAAATTGTTGTTATTTTTCTGTTTGGATCCAGAGATTTCTCTGTGGGAATATTTCTAACCTTAGATTCATTTTATTGAAAATATACAGAACCTTTCAGGTTTTCTGTTTCTTCTCGAAGAGCTTTGGGAGTCTACTGCAAGGTAGTTTTCTTCTAAGTTGTCAGCATAAGTTGTTGGTGCAGCCATTTTAATATCTGTAGGCTGTGTAGCGATGCCTTCTCTTTTGTGAGCTGCGTCTCCTGAATGTGTTAGTTTGTCAGTTTTATTCACCATCTCAACTGAACTGTTTTTGGCTTTGTTGAGCTTCTGTTTCACGGGACTCTTTATAGCTTGTGCGTATGTATAGAGAGAATACACCTATTCCTGGTAGCCTGTTCCCCCAGGGAGGCTCTGCTCCATGATTTGCACAACTTCCCCAAACAGCTCTATCAACTGGAATCCCAGTGGGGATCTCACAAGTTCCTGGCCAGCCCAGGCTACAAAATGAGACATTGTGTCAAACAGAATAAACAAGCAGCTGTGTACGGAAGGTCCCGAGTTTTACAAACTATAACGTATGCAGACTCCAAGCTGCCGTGGAACTGTGGTCTCCATTTTGTTTCTGAAGATCAGGAAAGTCCGTGCCCTGCCATAGGTAGCACAGCCACTGGGGTGGAGTTGGAGCTGCCTTTGTATGAGGTGCTTGGCTGTCCTTCTGCTGGTCCCAGACCAGGGTTACTGCTTGGAGGAGGAGGAGTGTCTGAAAGAGCTGACCCAGCAGACTCCCTTACCTAGTAAGATGTGGATTTATGTCCCTGAGCCTGTGAGAAAACTGAAGACGAGGGTCCCCAGCTGGTCATCACTGGGGCTGGGGGACCCTTTTGCTCATACTTGGATGTTAACTCTGTTGTAGAAACTGACATCCCCACTCCGGGGGAGACTTTCACATAGTGCAAGGGCTGCTTTCAATGGTGGCCCTCAGCAATTGTCACTGCCCAGAGGTAGGTGGACATGCCAAGGATAGTCTAGGCCTGTACTGTGAATAATAATGCTTCAGAAATGGACACTGAAAGCCGCGCATGCGCGCGCGCACATGCGTGTGTGTGTGTGTGTGTTTGTGTGTGTGTGCGTGCCTGTGTGCAGATGTGGAGGCCAGCAGTACTCAGTTGCGCTCCACCTTATTTTGAGGTAAGATCTCTCTCTGAAACTGGAGCCAGTAAGTCCCCTGGGTCTTCCTGGCTCCACCCCTCCCCCAGTGATGAGGTCACAGCTGTGCTACCACGGCTTCTTTTAAGAGTAGGTGCTAGGGATCCAAACTCGGGTCCTCATATTTATACAGCAAGCGTTGGATCTGCTGAGCTTTCCCCCCAGTCCCCAGAGTCAAGTTCTCATAGTAGTCCACTGACCTAGTGTCCGAGAGAATGTGTTTGGGCATGTAGAGGCACCTGGGGGAGCCGTGACATGCAGGGGGCAGGCAGAAGGGAAGTGATCTTCTTTCTTTTTTTTTCAATTTTTATTTTTTTTCATTTAAATTTAATTTTATTTATTTTTTTAAAATTTTTTAAATTTATTTATTTATTAAAGATTTCTGCCTCCTCCCCGCCACCGCCTCCCATTTTCCTCTCCCTCCCCTGATCAATTCCCCCTCCCTCATCAGCTCAAAGAACAATCAGGGTTCCCTGACGTCTGGGAAGTCCAAGGACCACCCACCTCCATCCAGGTTTAGTAAGGTGAGCATACAAACTGCCTAGGCTCCCCCAAAGCCAGTACGTGCAGTAGGATCAAAAACCCATTGCCATTGTTCTTGAGTTCTCAGTAGTCCTCATTGTTCACTATGTTCAGCAAGTCCGGTTTTATCCCATGCTTTTTCAGACCCAGGCCAGCTGACCTTAGTGGGTTCCCGATAGAACATCCCCATTGTCTCAGTGTGTGGGTGCACCCCTTGTGGTCCTGAGTTCCTTGCTCGTGCTCTCTCTCCTTCTGCTCCTGATTTGGTCCTTGAGATTTCTGTCCGGTACTCCAATGTGGGTCTCTGTCTCTGTCTCCTTTCATCACCTGATGAAGGTTAATATTCAGGAGGATGCCTATATGTTTGTCTTTGGATTCACCTTCTTATTTAGCTTCTCTAGGATCGCGAATTATAGGCTCAATGTCCTTTATTTATGGCTAGAAACCAAATATAAGTGAGTACATCCCATGTTCCTCTTTTTGGGTCTGGCTTACCTCACTCAGGATAGTGTTTTCTATTTCCATCCATTTGTATGCAAAATTCAAGAAGTCCTTGTTTTTTACTGCTGAGTAGTACTCTAATATGTATATATTCCAAGCAGTGTGGCGGTTTCTCAGGAAATTCGGGATCAACCTACCCCTGGACCCAGCAATACCACTCTTGGGAATATACCCAAGAGAGGCCCTATCATACAACAAAAGTATATGCTCAACTATGTTCATAGCAGCTTTGTTTGTAATAGCCAGAACCTGGAAACAACCTAGTGGTCTTCTTTCTATGAAGACTGCTCAGTTGTTACAAAGAGTGATATGAAATCTGCTTCTCAGCCAAGTCACAGGGTTGTGTTCCAGCAACAGGCCACTAGGGGACACATTGGTATTGTCCCAGGAGGGAATGGTTGTAGGCATTTCCCTCTGAGCCTGCTGTGGGGAGGCAGGATGTGCTGCCAGACGTGTGTGTCGTTCGGGTGAGCAATCTTTCTTTCTGTTTCAGGACAATGTGTTAAACATCATTAATCAGATCATGGAGGAGTGTATCCCTCAAGACCGTGCCCCTCGGGATTTCTGCGTCAAGTTTCCTGAGGAGATCCGGCATGACAACTTGGCTGGCCAGTTGTGGTTCGGGGCTGAGGTAGTGGGCAGCTGCTGGGATTCCTGGTCCTAACATTGAACACCCCTTTCCAGCCACGTCCCTGTGAACCTGCCCACAGGCACCTGCAGACACAGATGCCTAGTGTCCTCCAGGGGCTCTACCCACCCTTTGTTTACAGAAGATGTGGTCTGCGTTTCCTTGGCCACTGGCCCCTTGGACCATCAGGGAGAGCCATGCCCCTGTCATCCCCAGCACTGCCGGTGCAGATGAAGTTTCTCGTGTGATTGGTGGTTAGGGGCTTCTTAGATCCCCAAGCATCCAGGATCCTGTCACTGCTCCTCAGATACCAGCGTGAGCAGAGTTCTCTCCTGCCCGCTGAAATGGCAACATAAGGGGGCACTCAGTCTTCAGAGGACCTCACTCGGCATCTCACCATAGCTTATCTTCCAGTGAGACAGTTGAGGCACGAGGAAGGTGCCTTCCCCAGTGGGGTATAGGGGACTTACTTCCTAGCTGGGGACTTCTGTACTCCTCAACAAAGTGAAGCTCCAGCTTATCTCCCTTGTCCGTGTTCTCAAAACCCAGGGGATCCCAGGGCTATGACTGCAACTTGTCATCCTCTGTGCTGTCCTCGAGTCCCTGACACCCCTCCCCGTGCAACCCCGGATCTTACCTGCCTCCTGCTCCATTAATGTGGCTGCTGCGTAGGCTTGGCACCTGTGGTTTAATGCTCCCATTCAGGATAGACCTGGGAAATCAGTAACCCATTGCCTCAGCTGACAGGAAATTGCTTCTTGTCCTGATTCATGCTGATGGGATTGGCTGGTAGCTTGGTTCTGCCCTAAACTGGTGAAAGCCAGCTAGTAGACTGAGCTTCTTTTCTATACCAGAAGGAGCCAACTGGAGTCTGTGTGTACTCCTTGGTCTCCACCTTGAGAGTAGTAGACGAACTTTCTGTGTTTCTGAGCATAGCCTGGGGTCTCTCACAGATGTGGGTGCTTGGGGTACATGGAGGCCTCCTCACCAACCACGAGTGGGGTACGCTTTTAGTGGATGATTATGTGTATGGGGAGATCATGTTCCTATTTGCATTAGATGTATGTGTGCAAGAGGCATCTATGACTTCCCATAAAGGTCATGGCCTGGAGGGTGGCTGGACACTTGCTGCTGTCTTGTTCCAGGACACAACCCCAAGTGTGGCCTCTGGATGCTCTTGGCTCCTAGAAGTCACCCTGGGCCAGGAGGCAGTAAGAATCACATTACTGGGTTTATCTACCCCTTGCATTGTGTCTTACACTGGGCCCTGAGGTCTTGAGGTGCACAGGGTCAGGTTCCCTGAGGACATGCTCTTTCTAAGAGCTACAGGCCACTCTTAAGCATACTTTCATGCCCACAGTGCCTGGCAGCTGGCTCCATCATCATGAATCGTGAGCTCGAGAGCATGGCTATGCGGCCACTGGCCAAGGAACTGACGCGCAGCCTGGAGGATGTGCGGGGCACTCTCCGTGACCAGGCACTACGAGACCTCAACACCTACACGGAAAAGATGCGGGAAGCGCTGAGGCATTTTGATGTTCTGTTTGCCGAGTTCGAGCTGAGGTGACCTTGAGGGCCCCGTGGATGTGCTTTAGACCTTTGGAACCATGGCTTTTGCTCATGAGTTTGGGATGCCGGCTCTGGGGGCACATCTTGATGTCTCCATGTAGAAAATGATGAAGGAGGAGTTGGGTGACTAGCCCCTGGGGAGCCTTCAAGGGGTGAGGGAGAGCAGAGGACATGGAGTCCAGCAGGGCTCTGGCAGTCACAACCCCTGGGGCACAGGGCTCAGGAGAGGCCTGCTGTGCTCTGTGGACCAACTTTGTGATGCTCACAGACAGGAGATCCTTGCTTTCATGGCCTCTGTTAATAAAGACTGAGTGTGGGATGCATGAACGGCCTCTAGAAGAAGGTGTGCTCTCAGAAGTCAGGGTGCAGGCAGTTGAGTATTATTTTCTTGGGTCTCATAGCAAGAAAAAGATTAGAGAGTTGGTAGTTTACAAGACCTGAAAGCGTTCTCACCTGGGATCAGGTAGATAAGCATCCCACAGCTGCTCAGCAAATATCCTGAGTCCTGTGCACATCTGGGACCACTCCTGGGCAGTTGGGATGCACAGGGTCTGACCTTGCAGTCTGTGGGGGGAGGGGTTGTCCCAGGCACCTGCTCCCTATTCATGGATTCATATATGCTAATGCATTGCTTCCTCAGAACTAGGGTCAAGGTGGGAACACTTAAGTGGATGGGGTGGTTTCATGGCAATCAAGTCTGAACTGGAGCAGGACTGGGGTCATGAAGAAGTGCCACATAAAGCCTGGGTTAGCAGCAGATCTGACTTAAATTATCTCTGTAAAGCTTGGAGCTGCGTATTTATGATCTCAGTGGCGTTTCGTAGTGGTAGTATCAAGGGCTGTGGTTTTGATTTAATGTCTTTGTTTGGGGAGGCCTGGGAAGTTGGGGAACAAAGGTCTGACAATCTCCATGTTGCAGCTATGTCTCAGCCATGGTGCCTGTGAAGTCCCCCAGAGAGTACTATGTGCAGCAGGAGGTCATCGTGCTGTTCTGCGAGACAGTGGAGAGGTGAGGGCAGGCTGCTTAGATGGCATCTTGTCAGGGACACCCAGGTTAGGGAGACAGCACCCTGCTGCTTTCCTTACCCATCATGCCTGCTGGTACCCAGAAGGCAGTGCCCTCACTCACTCTCTCCCCAGGTTCCCTCTGCTCTGGGCTGGAAGGGCAGGTGCTTTAGTGGAGTCTTGTGACAGCCAGACAGACAGCAGAAGTCTCTCCCTTAGTAGGCAGCTGCTGTCTAGATCCCCCTCCCCCACATACATCCCCTAGTTCCCTAGCCCCCTGCCTCCCTCTCCTCTCTGCGTCCTCATCTCCCACTTTCCTCCTCCTGCTTCTGCTCTCCTCACAGAGCACGGGGGTCCCTGTGGGTGCAGGCCTGATCAGCAGGTAGCTGGGTCCTGGCTGCTTCCATCAGGCCTTGTTTGTCAGTTCAGTCAAAGTCTCCAGAATCTGGGACTGAGATTCACCCAGAGTGTTGACAGTAGTGCTGCCTTTGAAACTGACTAAACCACACCACAAGTTGTTATTTTTAAAAGGCTGATCGTTCGCTGGGTCTGCTTTCACAAGTGTTTCAAATTGCCAGAAAACAGGGTGACAGAAAATCCATTTTGCTTTGAAGTCCTGATGGTGCAGCACCTGTTTATGGGGTGTTATGTTGGGAAAGCCACCTGCTTACGGTGGGGGACGGGAACTAACCTAGATTCTCTGGGAGTGCTGGATTGGGGAATATTCTTGCCCCGTGTTTGTGCTTGACCCTTGAGTTGCCTTGGCTTCAAGGGTAGGCAAAGCACGGGTAACGACAGACACTGACCGAATGACGGGTATCTTCACACATACCACCCACCTCCTGCCCTTCCATTCTTTTCTGGGACAGGTGGAGCAGGCAGGAAAAAGACTGAGCTTTGGCCACTCTTCTGGGGCTTTCCAAGCAAAGCACTGCCTTGTCTTCCATGCATGACTGATGTAATACAGGCCACTCTCCTCACCTGCCTGTCCCCTGGGGTTAACTAGGAAGGGTGGGTGCTCTGCTCCCAACACGTGGAGTCTACCTACCAATACCCCTCACTCCCTTTCCCTCTGCCAGAGCCTTGGATTTCGGCTATCTGACCCAGGACATGATCGACGACTATGAACCTGCCCTCATGTTCACCATTCCTCGGCTGGCCATTGTGTGGTGAGTGCCCTCCGCTTCCTGGCTACTGGTGATGGTGCTCACACCCTGCAGACTCAGCTCCTGTCAACCCCTAGCAGTCCCAATCTGGTCCCCTGTTCTCCCTTGGCAGATGAGGAGCCAAGTGTTTAGAGAACTTCATGCTTCCCCTGGTGGGGGCTGTGGGAGCTCCTGTTACAGACAGACAGTGAGCCCTGCCACTCGGGCCCACACACCATGCTGGGTCTCTTGGGTATAGAGTAACCATGCAGGGCTGTGGGAGGCAGGCTCGGTGGTGACAGGAGGATGAGGGGCCTCAGCTCTCAAAGAATAGGTTGGTTTAAGCGAATAGCTTCTGGCCTGTGGGGAGATGGAGCACAGTAGGTTCAGGTGAGCTGTGGCCTCCTATCTAAATAGGAGACTTGGTGGGCCCTTTTCCATCAGAATGGTAAAACAGATCTGGGGAGAACAAGGAACTCACAGGTCAGCCTTTGGATTCTTGTGGGGTTCATGGCATCAGGAAAGCATGCAGGATTTGGGGCCTCACATCCCTCAGAGACAATGTGCTCAGTCACTTGCTGGACATTCTCAGTGCCGGGGCCACAGGCAGAGCCCAGCTGTTGGAGCTTCTTCCCCCTCTGTGCTCCATCTTTCTGTCGGGTGGGTGTTCATGGGGTTGGGGAGCTTGGTGAAGGCTGCCTGGGTTTGCAGTCTGGGGGATGGTCCAGTTATACCACCTGGAATGCAGGAGCATAGCTGGGCCCAGAGTGGGGATGTTGCATCCTGTGGGGAGAAGGAGAGGGCATAGAGTCCACGATGGGTCCAGATCTAGGCCACAGCAGGACCTTGGGAACATAGAAGACAGACACAGCAGCCTGCTGAAGATACTTACCCATGGGAAGTGGGGACTTGGGGGTGGAGGGCTGCTTCAGGACAGTCAGTGTTCTGATCTCTCAAAACTGGGGCACTTTTTTCTATTGCACAGGCAAGTGCAGGGCGCTGGTGCCAAGCCTTGCTCCTTGCCAGGCTTCTGGCTTGTGTATTTTAGATGTCTTCAGAGTAATGTTTGAGCAATGGCTGGTGTTTCCAGAGCCCTCTAATGGTCCAGCACCTCTGGTCTCCTTCCCCATACACTCCCCCTCTCCTTACAGAGTTCTCTCTCTTCTCTTCAACATATCAGAGTACCACATCACACTCCAGGGCTGCCCCTTTAAAATGCCCTTCATCAGCAGAATCTGGGGGTGTCTTGCCTTCTGAGGATGTTGAGCTGCCCCCAGCTCTCATAAAGTGGGCTGAAGTGGCTGTTCCCAGGAGGACCTGTAGGCCTCTGCTGGCTCACAGGTGTCTCTGTGGTTCAGTAAGAGGAAATGGTGTATTTTTTTGGTCCTACCTCTTTGAAAAATAAAACAGAAAACTCTTTGGACTCTAAATCTTGTTTGTTTATGCTGACCAGCATGGGTCTGAGAGTTTTTGTTTGTTTATCTTGTTTTTTGAGACAGGATTTCTCTGTAGCTTTAGAGCTATCCTGGAACTTGCTCTGTAGACCAGGCTGGCCTCGAACTCACAGAGATCCGCTTGACTCTGCCTCCCGAGTGCTGGGATTAAAGGCGTGTGCCACCACTGCCCAGGGTCTGAGAGTTTTTAAGAATAGGTATTGACCCTTATCTTTATGTCTCTGAGAATTGATCCTGTAACACAAAAACCCATCCCTCGTTTTAACAGACCCTTGTAGGTGCTTTGAAGTACAGTACCTGGCACTTACCCATCCAAGGGCTGGCTTTTCTGGGAAGCTCTGCAGAACCAGCTGCCATTTCTGGGTATGCTTTTCCTCCCTTCTCTGTCCGCTGCTCCTGGGTGAGTGCAGGTGTGGTTGGGAGAAAATTTATTCCAAAGTCTCTGGGAGCACCCTACAGCTTATCTTAGGCAGCAAACTAGTTTTAAAATAAACAGAGGTGTCAGACAGCCCTTGCTCTCACTGTTTCCTGATTTAACTCTGGAATCTGTTTTCTTTCTTGTTGTTTGTTGGTTGGAGGATGAGGGTGGGGTTTAAGATAGTTTCCTATAACCCCGGCTGGCCTTGAACTCGTTATGTAGCAAATGACGACCCTGAACTTCTGCTTCTCCAGCCTCTACTCCATCAGTACCAGACCACAGGCATACCCCACCATACTCAGTTTTATCCTGGAGTCTGTTTTCCATGTTTGTTCACCTGTGCCTGGACATGTATGGCTGATGAACAATGACCACTCCTCTCTGACCAGCATCATGGATGTTCTGTGTGCTGATGTCAGTGTTCATACTGCTGGTAACTGGGTCAGTAGCCCACCCAGATCACTAGTCCTGGAGTTAATGAGGCCACTGTGGGTGTGAGTTTTGTTCTAGGTGGCGTCTGGAGGTAGACAGGACACTCCTTCTACTCAGGGTGTAAGGAGGTCTGGAAAGAGCTGCGATGATTGAAGGGCTCTCCACAAGGCAGAGAAGACGCAGGGTATAGGAAAGGAGAGCAGATACAGGAACACGGAACTCAGAGAGTGGAGGTTTGGCTCATGACAGGGTCCTCAGAAGCAAGCCTCTAACCTCAGAACCAAGTGTGGGTCTGAGGGATCGTGAGGTGCATTGTCCGCTGAGGACCTGTGTACCTGGTCCCACGCTCATCCCGGGGGTCCTGGCATTTCTGTGCAGGAGAGGCTGGGTCTGGGGAGCAGCTTCCCTTTATGTTCAGGTGTAATTTTAAGGTATTTATCTTAAAACAGTTCCTTAAAAGAATAAAGAACCCCGATCCTATAGATTGAGTGTCACTTTCCAGCCAGCACATCTGGTTGGCCAACATGGGCCTGTGCCACAGGGCCACTATTGCCTACCAGCCCAGAATCCCACAGGCCCATGCCCTGATACACCTGGGTCCACTCTGCATCAGCCATTTCTCCCCACAAGGTTTGTCCACACCTCAGCAACCCTGTAGCCAGATCTAGTACCGCCCCCCACCCATTGCCATCTGTGTGAGCCTGGCCCTTGGCCCCACCTACTCTTTAGTCCTGCCCCCTTGTCTGAGTAGTGACACCTCCTCCCCTCCTAGAGCACGAGTGGTCCTGGCATCTTCAAACAAGAACACTGCACCTTGTTCATAACCTGCCAGAGCTCTACCTCCTGGATAACAGACCTTCCCACACCCGAGGGATGCCCCAGCCTGGCCTCTGCCTCATGCATCCACCTTCTCCCCAGTTCTTTCTTCTGTCCCTCCAGGTTCACATAATGGCTGTGCTTACCCTATTTGGTTTTTAATATTCCCTAAGTACAACTTCCTACTATCTGACCCAGCCACAAATACTCAGATCACAGTTTCACCACAGCTAGACTCGTGTACTGGTTGACACTAATTTCAGCATACTTGTATCACCCAGACTCCTCACATCCCTTGTCCTTTGTGACCACTTCCACCACCCACATTTACACATTCATTCATGGGGTGCATGGGTCTCTCTCTCTCTCTCCTATTTTCTGGTCCTGCAGTGGTATAATTAGGGTTGTGTGTGGTTGTGTATCTCCATGGGAAGACAGGCTTCCCTCCTGCACTTACTGCAGTCCCATAGAGCCTGGAGGGTAGGGGCACAGTGGGCTTTGGTAGAATTTTGCCACTTTGATCTGTCAAGGCTCAGATACATATTTATGCAGATTATCCAGAGACTATTGCTTTTAAAGAAAACATTTGAGGGACCGAATATCCAAAACCAAGGCACTGATTAAAAGTGATACTTCTGTCACGAAAATCTTAGAGGGAAACACTAGTGTCACGGAAGCATCCTCACTATGTTAGATACAAGATCATCACCAAATGCTGTCCTACAAGATTGCTTTTTCTGTTTGTTTGGTAGGTTTTTTTTGTTTTGTTTTTTTGAGACAGAGTTTCTCTATTTATCACCTTGGCTGTCCTGGAACTCACTCTGTAGACCAGGCTAGCCTCAAACTCACAGAGATCCACCTGCCTCTGCCTCCTTAATGCTGGGATTAAAGGCATGCACCACCACCAACAGGCCTTTTTTTAGGGTCTCAGGTATCTCAGGCTGTTCCTTGCTGTGTATCCAAACAATGACCTGAACGTCTGGTCTTCTTGTCTCCGTCTCCTACATGATGGCATTATAAGCTTACACTGCTGGGGTTAGAACCCGGGCCTCATGCATGTCAGACAGGTGCTCTACCAACTGAGTTACAGCCTCAGCGCTCTGTAAAAATTATTAACTCTTCTGTAAACAGAAACGCGAGTGCTTTTACTATGGTGGTAAAGTAAACAACATATAACATAAAACTTACCATTTTAGCCTTTAATTTTTTTTTCTTTTTGGTTTTTCAAGACAGGATTTCTCTATGTAACAGTTCTGGCTGTCCTGGAACTCACTCAGTAGACCAGGCTAGCCTTGAACTCAGAGATCTGCCTGCCTCTGCCTCCCAAGTGCTGGGATTAAAGGCGTGTGCCACCACTGTCTGGCCTTTAAATTCTTATGGAGCCTTCATGGGCCTACAGAGGAAAAAAAAAACTTCAAAAAGGAAACACAAAGCAAAAAGGATTCATACAGTGTGTTTCAAACTTACTACAAATAAAAATGATGGCCTGGCCACTTAGAAAGACATGAAGGCCAAGGAAATGGAATTAAGAGATCAGAAACCCCTCCATCTGTGGTCAGAGGATCCCAGATCAGGATGCCAGGAGCATTAGCGCAGGAAGGAGCACTCTTCAGTTAGTGCTGTGGAACGTGGCCGCCACATCACACACTGTTGTCACTGGCTCTGTGTGTAGATATTTAGCCACAGCCCAGTCTGGATGTTGTGAATGCATCTTTAAAATGAGTTAACATGCAATTAATAGAGTTTTGAGTTTGGTATATTACCCTCAATAGTGCAGTGGGCCTCATAGAATCAGTTGAAATTCAAGGAGAAAACAGGCTCAGATCCCCTAAGTAAGAAGGAATACTGTCGTGACTTCACATCACTGTGTCTCCAGCCTGCTTGCCACCTGCCCCATGCAATTTGAATTTACTCTCCAAACTCATAAGCCTGTTTTCTCTCTTTCTGTCTCTGTCCCCCACCCCCCGCCTCTCTCTCTCTCTCTCTCTCTCTCTCTCTCTCTCACACACACACACACACACACACACACACACACACAGACACACACACACACACACACACACACACACACACACACACAGAGTCTCACGCTCTTCCCTTTCTCAGTTTTGGCCTTTTTTATATAGCCCTCATCACAACCTGCTTTTGCTTGGTGTGAGCTTAGCAGATCACCGAGTCCAGAGGCAGCACAGTACCTATTTTCTTCTATGACTTTTGATTCTTGCTTTGCACACAGAATCCAACCTTCTAAGTGGAAAATAGTCCCTTTCATCCTGTTTGTCACTTTTCTTACCAACCTGGGTCTTAAAGAAGACCGTGAGGAACTGACAGGGATTCTGGGTGGGATGGTGGCAGCTGGGGCTCTGCTGGCAAGGAGACCATGTCATAGCTATGGAAACAAGTAGGGATCTCTAAGCAGAAAGCCCAAATAGCCCTACTATGTGCTCAAATGAGGGAGCAGAGGCACAGGTAAATGTTCAGTGGGCTCCTGAGACACATCAACGTGAGCGCCTGGGCCCCAGAGGCGCCGGAGGAGATACTGGAGAAGGGTCCAGGCATAACGTCCTGAAGGAGATGAGTTGGGAGTTGGCTGGTGGAGGCACTCTCAGAGCTGGGCAGTGGCTCTGGAGCTTCCAGGTGGTGTCAAGTGGAGGTGGCTGTCACGATGAGATGATGATTAGGGCTGCCCGAATGCGGCACCTGCGTGCTGCTGTCTTTCAGCAGGTGTTGACTGGGTGCTCGGTACAGGGAGGGGACAGTGAAGACAGCCCCAGCCTCAGGTGGGGCATCTGGGGAAGGGTCGGTGTGGTCTGGGGTAGACAGCAGCAGGCTGTTTCCTACCCTGACGGGTGGTATAGGAACTTGTTCTTCTAGCTCATGCTTGGCTTTTGAAGGGACAGCTTCAGGCCTGAGTCCTATGAGCCTCTACAGATCCTGTTTTTCACTTTCACTGAGGTAGATGTTGGTAATACATCTCCATCTTATTTCTCTGCAGCATTGAGGTGAGGAAATACACTCCATGGTTCTCAGATCCCCGCTGTGAACCAAGCTAATAAACTTGACTGCAAAGTCTGGATAGTAACTGGCATCACCTTTCCCTTGCCTTACTGAAACAATGTTTGTAGGAGGCGAAGGGGCAAGCTATTGCTAAGCTCTGCTCTGGGGCTGCCCCAGGTTCCAGCTGACTGTCAGTCTTCTTACATGTGTTGAAGCTGAAATTACAGGGCTCGCTCAGAGGCCCGTAGAGCCTAACCAAACTGGCTTGTGTGTCTTGAATGCAGTGGCCTTGTGGTCTATGCAGATGGACCCCTGAACTTGGACCGAAAGGTGGAGGATATGTCCGAGCTGTTCCGGCCCTTCCACACGTTGCTGCGGAAAATAAGGTGAGGGCTGGGGGACGGTTGTTGAAGTCAAGTGCTCAGCCCCCTGAATCAATGAGAGCTGGCCACACACCCTCCTGTGTGATACCTATGTCCACAGTGGCTGAAGCCAGCCTTTATCTGCTCTGCCTGGACCTCAGAGTGGTTGGCAGCTCTTGCGTGCCAAGCTTTAAGGGATCATAAACTTCACACTGCCCAACCTTGGGTATACCACAGAGCTCAGTGTTTGCTCTCAGTTCATGAAAGCCCCGAAGTTCCTTTCAGGAAGCTCATATGTCAGTCCTCGTTTGCTAGGCTTCTGTGGATGTGCCGAATCTCTTCTGCTGTATCATACCTTTCTCTTGTTGGACTGAGCATTCTGCCCAGTGACTTGGTGGGATGGGTTGTTCATACCCTAGGGATGGCCTCATGATGGGCTGGAAACAATGTAGAGGCCACGACCACCCATCTCCTGAGTGTCTTCCTGGTGTTTCCTCCTTTGGCTCTAGACAGTGAGCGACTGTGCTGGATGGGTCTTTGTAGCACCATCCATGGGTCTATCCGAATATCCAGAGCTTCCTTAGACCCTGCACTGAGCACAGCCAGTGAGGCACAGTATAGGGTGGATTTAGGCTCAGCACAGGGTGACCTCAGGCACAGCACAGAGTGGTCTCAGGCACAGCCATCGAGGCCAGAATTTCTTTGAGGGTGCATGGAACATAGAACTATGCCAGAATAGACACCGCAAGAAGAGACACCTATGGGCTTTTCCAGTGGGCAGCCTTGAAGTCTTGGGACCTCGGTGAGTCAGCAGACTGGGAGCAGGGTACTCAGTCTACTTGACAGTTCAGTTTATCCTGTAGATGGCTCTTGCTGTTTCCCTCTCCCTCTGAATGGAATGCAGACCTTAGATTTAGAGGCTGAGGATCTGCCTTTCTTGGTTCCAGGACAAGGGATGACAGTAAATGAGGAGAAATCACAGACAATGCTGAGGCCAGGAAGGAAAGCACAACCATGCTTTGGCAGAGGTGGTTCTTGTAGGAGGGATGGGGCAGTCGCTGGGGTAATGAGAGGAAGCTCTGTGGGCTTAGGAGAGAACTAGGCACAGAGATACCTGGCTCTTCTTCCCAGGAAGTATTTGACAATTCCAGGCAAATGTTTCTTTGCCCAAGGTTCAGGCTGGAGGCCAGAACCCAGGTGCAGTGGGCTAGTAGAATAATCAGCACTGGGGACAGCCAGGCAGCGTAGCCGCTGGGTTCAGGTGCAGGAGGAGCCCAGGTACAAAGCCCCTTAGGAACAGTCCTGCACTCTTGGGAGACAGATGTATGCCCCAGACTCATTGCCAGTCTGCCCTGGAGACTTTTGCCAAATGTTGAAGGTTCATGGATTGGAGGGTTGGGAGGTTGGAGGCTGAGCTGGGATTCAGAAGGGCAGACTCAGACTCCAGAGTATGGGAAGATGGACGTTGAAGCTGAGGGTAGACCAGCAGAGGAAGCACACTCTGGAGCTCATAGACAGAAAGTGAGGAAGCAAGCAGACAGAACCATCTGTAGGAGGGACACGTGCAGCACACTCGAGTGGCTAACACACGCCGTTGATCTCAGAAAGGGAAGAGAGAATAAGCAGAAGCAATATCCAAAGAAAGTGGCCTAGGATTTTCCAAAACTGATGGAAAGTTTACCCATAATATTCAGGATGCTCACATCGCAAGCAAGAGAAACACAAAACATCCCTGTGCATGTCACAGTAAAATTGCCAACAACAAAGACAATCTTAAAAATAGTGAGGGGGGAAAATATTGCTTTAAAAGTAGACAGACACCTCTACACACCAAAACAAACAAGCGAAAAATTGGGCATGGTGTCACACACCTATAACTCCAGTGTTTGGGTTCAAGTCCAGCCAATACAAAATTAAGAAAGGAAATAAAAGTAAGAAAGAAAAATAATGGATAGGAGACATCACTACAAACGTCACAGATACTATGAACAATTCCGTCAGTGAATTTGACAAGTTGAGTTAAAGTAACAAATTTTACAAAGTAATCAGCTGACAGAAGAAATACAGTATGTATTAAGAGAATTTAATCATTATTTATAAGCCTCCCACAAATAAAATATGAACAGATCATATGGACCAATATGCAGTTCCCCAACTTATGGCAATGGCAATAAGGTGTTGCAGAACAGTGCGGCATTTTATTTTTTCTCCAGTAAATGGGCTGAGCTAATGGGAATTAATAGGAGAAAAAAGTCTCATGTTGTTGTTGTTTTCTTTGCTCTTTGGGGGCCTGCCACCCAACTCTCAAATAATCACAAGGAGACTTACTGTTTCTTATGAATGCCCGGCCTTAGCTTGGCTTGTTTCTGATTAGCTTTTCTTAAATTATCCCATCTATCTTTTGTCTCTGGGCTTTTATCTTTCTCTGTTTCTGTACACCGTTCTTTACTTTTTACTCCATGGTTTGCAGTGTCACTGCTGGTGTCCTCCCTCTTCCTTTTCTCCTCTCTCCTTCTCATTTTTTCCTTTTATTGATTCTCTCTGCCTGTCAGCCTCGCCTATTCCTCTCCTGCCTACCTATTGGCTGTTCAGCTCTTTATTAGACCAATCAGGTGTTTTAGGCAGGCAGAGTAACACAGGTTTACAGAGTTAAACAAATGCAACATAAAAGAATGCAACACATCTTTGCATTATTAAACAAATGCTCTACACCATAAACAAATGTAACACATCTTAAATTAATATTCCACACCAGTCTCATTTATGCATTTATCTTGCTACTGCAATCACATACAGAATCATTTCCAGATAGAATAGAGGTATAAATGTAAAAAGAGAAACTATTGAGCTTTTGGAGAAAAACAGTCAAGATCGTTGTAATAGTCCAATAGATAGCCATCTCCTAAACAGGACACAGAAGGGCTAACTGTAAAAGAATGTGTGATTGGTGATAAAGGGTTGAGCATTTACCTAGTGTGTGTGAGGCCCTGGATTCAATTCTCAGCACCACTAAAAATATGATGCATTAGGCGTTATTACATTTAAAAATGCCACTTACCAATAAGCATCTGCAAGAGAATGAAATCTGGGCTGAAGAATTGGAGAATAGGTTCATTAAGAACTTAACTCCAGCTGGGCGGTGGTGGCGCACGCCTTTAATCCCTGCTCTTGGGAGGCAGAGGCAGGCAGATCTCTATGAGTTCGAGGCCAGCCTGGTCTACAAGAGCTAGTTCCAGGACAGGCTCCAAAGCCACAGAGAAACCCTGTCTAGAAAAACCAAAAAAAAATTTAACTCCAAAATACATAAAGAAAACCAATCAAAAAGAAAAATCTCATTCCATCAGGCTAAGTAAGGTTCTATTACACATGGACCAGAGAGGATGTGTTCGTGAGGGCCCAGGGCAGAGCTGCCAGCGAGGCCACAGACCTGTTGTGTCCAGCTACTTGCCAACTGTTGTTGATCTTCATTGTCAGCTTGACAGGATTTGGATCATCTGGGAGACACATTGGTGGGTGTATCTCTCTGCCCTGCCTTAGACTTGACAGGATTTGGATCATCTGGGAGACACATTGGTGGGTCTATCTGTCGGCCCTGCCTTAGACTTGACAGGATTTGGATCATCTGGGAGACACATTGGTGGGTGGATCTGTCGGCCGTGCCTTAGACTTGACAGGATTTGGATCATCTGGGAGACACTTTGGTGGGTGTATCTGTCGGCCCTGCCTTAGACTTGACAGGATTTGGATCATCTGGGAGACACTTTGGTGGGTGTATCTGTCGGCCCTGCCTTAGACTTGACAGGATTTGGATCATCTGGGAGACACATTGGTGGGTGGATCTGTCGGCCCTGCCTTAGACTCATCCCAGCCACTGTCACAAAACCAGGCTGCATGTCCAAGTCTCAGCTTTAGTGTCCCCTTCTTGAGGAAAGCATTCCAAACTCAGCCAGGGGCCCTGTGCTCTCTCTTTGGCTTATATTCCCTTCCTAGCCGTTGTCATTACTGTCGACTGCATGTTGTTTGTACAGATGCTTAAACCAGCCTCAGCCACCTAGGAGAGAACCCTAGGTGGCTAGGCCATGCTTGCCTTCTTCCTGCAAAACCGCTGGTGTCCAGAGCCTGGCAGGCATATGGCCGGTCCTTAGTAATAGTTGTTTTTTTTTTTTCTTTTAAAGACGAGTGTTCCTAGGTAAACAAACATGTGTTGATGGTAGTCTTTAAAGCAGAGGTTCTCAACCTGTGGGCCATGACCCCTTTGAGGGTCTCATGAGGATATCCTGCACATCCAATATTTACATTGCCACTCATAACAGTAGCAAAATCATAGTTATGAAGTAACAACAAAATAATTTTATGGTTGGGGGTCACCACAACATGAGGAACTGTATTAAAGGGTCATAGCATTAGGAAGGTTGAGAAAACCTGCTCTAAAGTTTTTATTGGTGCTTAAGAGATTGCTTCTCATAGCTAAAAACACTGACTGCCCTTCCACAGGACCAGGGTTTGGTTCCCAGCACTCACATGGTAGCTCACAACCATTTGTAACTCCATTTCCAGGGGATTTGATGCCCTCTCTGGCTTTCGTGGGAACCAGGTACACATGGTACACAGATATACATGAAGGCAAAGCACCCATATACATAAAATAGAAATAAATAATTTTTTTAAAAAGCTTGTATTGGCTGGGTGGTGGTGGTACACGCCTTTAATCACAGCACTCAGGAGGCAGAGGCTGGCGGATCTCTGAGTTTGAGGCCAGCCTGGTCTATAAGAGCTAGTTCCAGCACAACTAGGACTGTTACACAGAGAAATCCTGTCTCCAAAAAAACTAAAAACAAAATGAAAAGCTTTTATTAATACAGTCACAATATTCCTATGATCAAAGTCTCATGCATGGTAGACAAATGCTCACCACTGAGCTATGTTTCTGGCCAGTGAGGGCTTTAGCATTCCCAGTGAGAGGTTCCAGAATCTCATTTAAAAATATAATTTACAAATATAATTATAGCTACTTGCACTTCCACCCCTATGAGAAAGAAGAGAGCTTCCTTTTAAAGTGGAGGGCACAGTGCGTGCCAAGCACAAGTGCTTGCTGCCCGACTCTTCAGTGTGGGTGTCAGCTTTGGGGGATCGCCTCTGCAGTTGGCAGAGGCTACTGTGACATTTGAGAGAGACCCTCAGCCTGGTTTCTGTCTTGACCTGCAGGGATCTGCTGCAGGCGCTGACTGAGGAAGAGCTGCACACACTGGAGCGGAGCCTCTGTGTTTCTCAGGATGTGGAGCTCCCCATCCGGGCAGATGCCCAGGCACCCAGTGCCCTGGCACCAACCTTTTCTGCCTCCCTTCCCCCTGAGGAGCCACTTTCAGCCAGTGCCAGCAACCCAGAGGCAGAACTGGCCTGCTCAATGCAGTATGATGATCAGGAGTTGGAGGAACTTAGCCGCATGGTCCACAGAGCTGGAGATGAGATGTCATCTCTGCTTTCCCCGCCCAGTGCCTCCCAGTCCCCAGCACATAGGCCAGGCCCAGAGGCCAGCCCCCGAGGGGAAGCCTCTCCAGCCAGAGCCCAGCTGAAATCGGGCAGTGACGAGGAGGAAAGGGTATTCTTCATGGATGATGTGGAGGTGACAGAGTCTCCTGCCAGGTCGGAATCCCCAGGGTGTACATTTGAGTTGACAGGTAACGGGGAGGGCTGTGCTCAACAGAGAGGACAGAACAGCCAGAGTGGAGAGGTGGGGGTGGGTGCACCTTCCTTGGTGAAGGAGGAAGACCGGAGCAACAACAACATTGAGGACGACAAAATAAAGCTGGCCAGCCTTGTGGGCTCCACTTCCTGCAGCTGCCTGGACTCACAGCTGTACCTGGACGGCTGGGAGGTGAGTGTAGATGATGCTGAGACCGCCGAGATGATTGCACATCGGACCGGGGGCATGAAACTCTCGGCCACAGTCATCTTCAATCCCAAGTCTCCCACCTCCTTGGACTCAGCCGTGGCCACTCAAGAAGCCACAGGCCACGGTATTACCCCATTGGAGCCCAGGGCAGAGGGGACAGCGGACAATTCACACAAAGTCGGCACTGCAGCCACCAACTGCCTCCTCCACTCCTGTGTGTGCTGTGGGAGCTGTGGGGACAGCAGGGAGGATGCAGTGGAGCGCCTGCGGGAGAAATGTGGTCCAGGGAGCATCATTAGTGCCTCTAACCCTTCTGTAAGCTTAGCCAAGGCTGGGGACAAAGAGCCTGAGAGACTAGATGAAGTCTGGCCTTCCTCCAATGTCACCTTGCCTGCAGAAGATGCCTCCAGTGGGCAGGAGCCCAAAGCTCCTGCTTCCAACAAGTGCCTGGCACACACCTCAGGGCCTCAGGTGGACAAAGCAAGCAGGTTGCAAGGAGAGGGTGAGGTCAAAGGCCTGTCAGAGCCAGAGACCAGAAATCAGGACCCTGAGAAGTCCTCTGTGGCCTTGGGTGATAATGCAAGAGAAGACGTGGCCCAGACAGAACCCCAGCACCTGTCGGACTCCAGGTAAGTGCTGATTCTGTTCTAGGGACCAGACTTATTATCCTCTTGCATTCAGAACATGTCCTGGCCAATTCTCAAAGCACTGAGATGCTTCATCGTGGGGTTTCTTGGCCATCAACAGGTTCTGGTCCCAAGGCCTTGATGTCTGAAAGGATGAGGTATGGACCGGCCCCTGGAGGTTCCCATCCCACACTAAGTTAAATACTTACCGATGATCTCCAGGGGTATCTTTCAGGTAATATTGGCACAGGGTCGCCCCCTTTCATCTTGGTATCTCATTCTAACCCTGGTGTAGCCCATGGTTAATGGGTGTAGTGGGAACTAGGCACACAGCCTGCTGACCTTTCTTCACCACCATACCTGGTGGGCTTACACAGCTGGAAAGAGATTCCCAGAAACCCTGACTGTGGACAAAGCCGTGCTGAACTCTTGAGGCTACCCTTGGGCAAATTCTTGGGCAGTATCCCAAGACCCCTGGCCTTCCTCACCTCTGTACTCCCTCTGTTCCTTGTGGCTCTTCCCTCCCTAGAAGACCCCTCCCTGCTGTGGTCTGGTGATATCATAGTAGGGTCTAGAGTAGACACGTTTCTTTAGAACTGAGGCCTCTGTCTTTGCCTCTCACCTGAGTGTTCTGTCCATAGCAGCTTTTGACAAGCATCACTGATGTTGATTGCATGGTTTATTTTGTCTTTATGTTGGGGGTAGGAGGAGGGGCAAAGAAGCCAGCCCAGACTGAGTGGTTCATACATTGTTGTGATGTCTTTAGAACTCTGCCTGTTGGAGACCTACCTGGACAAGGGAGGGAGGGTAGGAGAGGGTCTCCACTCAGAGGTCCTGGAATCCAACACAGTTGGGTGTGTACAGGTTGAGACAAGGCAAAGGACAAGGTAGGGCACAGATGTAGGAGGAGTGTATTCGCATACCAGGGGGCAGAAGCTTCTGGGCCATGGGCAGATGCTCCTTCCCATCCCTCATCCCTTCCTGTGCAGCAGATGGTCACCACGCTCCCTAGAAGCCTGTGGGAAGAGCTGGTCAGGATCTTGTGTCTGTCCTAAATCCCGAGGCTCTCCCGCTCACCGCATGGCTCTTTGCTCCTCTACACACTGTGGGACGGGACTGTAGAAGCCACTGTGGCCGAAGCTCCTAACCTGCCTACTCCCTAGCCACTGGTAACCTCAGATCTGCTTTTGGCATCTTTGATCTTCTGACTGTGGACATTGAGACTAAGTCATACCCTTCCATGACCCTCCTCTTTTCCTGAGCAGTGTTTCCGAGGGTCATTGACACTACAGCTAGAGTGACATTCGGTGCCCTCCTCCAGCTGTTTCTCCTCACTGTGCTGAGGGCCCTGCCATGTCTCTCCCCTGTGTCTCCTCACTGTGTGGAGGGGCCCTGCCATGTCTCTCCCCTGTGTCTCCTCACTGTGCTGAGGGCCCTGCCATGTCTCTCCCCTGTGTCTCCTCACTGTGCTGAGGGTCCTGCCATGTCTCTCCCCTGTGTCTCCTCACTGTGCGGAGGGGCCCTGCCATGTCTCTCCCCTGTGTCTCCTCACTGTGCTGAGGGCCCTGCCATGTCTCTCCCCTGTGTCTCCTCACTGTGCTGAGGGCCCTGCCATGTCTCTCCCCTGTGTCTCCTCACTGTGCTGAGGGTCCTGCCATGTCTCTCCCCTGTGTCTCCTCACTGTGCGGAGGGCCCTGCCATGTATCTCCCCTGTGTCTCCTCACTGTGCTGAGGGCCCTGCCATGTATCTCCCCTGTGTCTCCTCACTGTGCTGAGGGCCCTGCCATGTATCTCCCCTGTGTCTCCTCACTGTGCGGAGGGCCCTGCCATGTCTCTCCCTTCACAGCTGACAGCTGTGTAGGGTGTTTCGTGGCTGGTAATGTTGCTGTGGAATTCTTTTTCCAGTTTTGTGTGGACAGGTGTTTTCATTATTTTGGGTCTCTAGGAGTAGAACATGCAGGTCATCTGGCAGCTAGCTGTTTTCCACATGCCTGAGGTTACTTCCATCCTACAAGTGTTTATGTGAGGGGTTCAACTTCTTCACATGGTCCATGGTTTTTAGGTAATTTTCTGTCCGTAGGGCATAATCCATCAGTACACAGTCAGTCGGTTGCCTTGTCAGATGCACACCTGTAGTTTCAGCCCTTGGCAAGCTGGGGCAGGAGAATGGCAAATTTGAAGCCAGCTTGGGCTACAGAGTGAGAACTTGTCTCAAAACCAACCAAACAAGAACCAAAGTGACTTGAAATTGCCTGTTCTTGCGGTGTTGAACTTTGCATAGACTTATAGGAACCACCACTTCTATTTAACTCAGTTTTAGAATGACATATAGAATGTTTGCATGCTTTCCAAACAAATCTAAACAAGTCAGATGTAAAGAAGTCTGTCTAGAGGGACTTGACTCTTTTGTGTCTGAAGGGAAGAGGTGTTAAGTTTCGTGGCCCAGGGATGGACATCAGGGTGCTTGCTCCTGATGTTAGGCAGATGGCTCTGAGCTCCAAACCCTCTTCTCCACCTGGCTTCCTAACCTCTAGCCCAAGACCTCACCAGACTCTTTTTGGAGATACCCCCACTTACCTTTACCAAAAAGTAGAGCCCAGACCAGGTTGGGCTGGTGTGCATTCAATCAGACCCTGGTGTCTGCAGGGCTACAGCCACCCTCCCGCTATTGTAGATGGTGCCGCTGTGGACTCCTACTGCAGAGGTCTCTCCTGTTCCTGAGGCAGCTCCAGCTTCATAGCCGAGTCAACTGGAATGAATTAACTTCCCAAAGGCTGCCAATGGCTACCTTGAGGCCTCTGGCTCAGTTTATTGGTGAGTGAATTATTTTCATACAAGGCTGTCACAAAAACCCAAAAATTCCTTAATGGAAGACTTGTGTTTTTTTTTTAAGTTTTGACTTGCTCTTTTTCCTATTTGTTCAGGTAACAGCCAGCAAACATCTAACATCTGGAAGCTTCTCCCACCCTGAGCAGGGCTCTTCACAACATGCCTCTGCATTTAGACCCAGTCCAGCTCAGCACACACTCAAAACTCAGCTGTGGAAAGGTGAGACAACCCACCTGGTGGCTCAGAAGACCTCCCACCTCCCAGGAAGCCTGTTTAGAAGATACAGAGGGTCTGAAGAGCAAGCATTTGGCAGGAGACCAGAACCTCAGACAGCCATATGTGGGCCAAGCACTGTGCTTTACGGAACTGGAAGAAGTCAGCCTACGGCCACCTGCCTATCACTCCTGCCCCGGCACTGGCAGAACTGGCATGGGAGCACTGGTCATGTGTTCTGTGTCATGAGCACATGTCTCAGGGGCCAAGCCAGGTACCGGAACCCACCCAGGAACCAGATGGACGTGGCAGGTCCTTCAGGACTACAAGGAGATGATACAATAGTGTGTTCTCAAACAGAGGCAAGAGGCCAGCCACATGCAGGCAGAACATTTGCTGAAATGCAGAGTGAGACCTCAGGTCTGGCTAGTAGGACAACATTGTGACCAAGTTTTCTCATGACGCATGTGGTCTCATGCACAGGGGTGCTCTATTCGTCAGGGCTTTCTAAAGGAACAAAACTCTGTGTGTGTGTGTGTGTGTGTGTGTGTGTATTTGGGGATTTGCTAGGTTGTCTTATAGGATGCAGTCTGAGACTCTAGCAATGGCTGCTCATGCCAGTAAAGATGTGAACCTGGCAGTTGTTCAGTCCATAGGCTGATGTCTCAGCAGTCCCAGTTTGAGGCTGTCACCCTGGAGGATTCCCGGGGAACTGCTCACTTCAGTCCATGTTGCAGTCCTGGGTAAGCTGATTCTAATATGGTTGAAGGACTGTCTCAACAACAGGCTAGATGACCAGTGGGGTAAGGACAAGCAGGCAGAAAGCAAAGTTTCCTTCCCCTCTGTCCTTCTGTGTGGCCTGTGACTAGGTGTCACCCACAGTAACCGTGGGTCTTCCCGCTTCAGATAACCTGGCTAAGAAAATCCCTCACAGGAGTGCCCAGCATCTTGTTTCAGTTGCATTCTGTATGCAGTCAAGTTGACAGTCAGGATTATCCATCACAAGCGGGCCGTGATTCTCCTCTAACTCTGCAGCTGGGAGACAAACTCAGATGCTAATGTCTGCCTCTCCTTGGTGTCCCTGAAGGGGACAGTTACTTTCAGTCTCTGCAAGCAGCAGGAGTCATTTCACTGCTGTTATGACTTAGTCATGGGGTTCACTCCTCATCTGGCAGGTGGCCTCTGGTGGAATGTGGCATGGAGTGTATAATGAAGCGTGGGTAGGCCCTGTGCTCACAGGCTTCTGTCCAGTGTGTGAAACTTACCTCTCTGTGCTACAAGTGGGAGAGAAGCAGGGAGCTGTGACGAGAGACCTACCTTCAAGGCTGGAGTCCCCCATTTCCCTGGAGTGTGTGTGGCTAGAAGGTGGAGGGTTGCCCCTGTCGGGACCAACGCATGGAAGCAGATGGGCCTGGGAGAGAGTATGGGCCCTGCTGGAGAAGCCCCTCCCCAGGTGGTCTTCTAGTCCCGGCTGATTCAACAACCAGCACCGTCACCCAAGGGTGGCAGCTCATTGTCATTGGTCGGCACAGATGCACTGACCCTGCGGAATCTTCTGGAGCCTGTGTTCTTTAGTTCTTTGCTTTCTGCTGGCTTCTTATCTATGTGTTCAGTGGTCAGAGATGAACTTTTGGGCGGGGGGGAGGTTGACTTTATTTAGTTTGTTAATTTGTCTTTTTGTTTGTTTGTTTGTTTGTTTGTTTGTTTGGTTGGTTGGTTGGTTTTTCGAGACAGGGTTTCTCTGTGTAGAATAGTCTGGCCTAGGACTTGCAGAGATCCACCTTCCTCTGCCTCCTGAGTGCTGAGGTTAAAGGCATGAGCCGCCACTGCCCAGTGAAAGTTGACGGTTTTAAAAAGCTGGTTTTCTCCCACCTGGCCTTAGCTTCCTGACTCAAAACATTCTTTGGTGCCAACTCCATTGGCTGCTTGCCAGAGGATGAAAACCACTCAAGTCTGTCTCCCACCCTGGACACTACAGAAGTATTTGCTTTAGAAATGACACGGATCCCTTTTTTAAAAAAAACCTCTGATTGTAAGTGTGGTCCCTGTTCATTGTAAAAACTTTAAAAACATTAAGAAGACTAAAAGAAGTAAATAAAAATTTCCACGTTTTGTGAATAGTTTTATTTTTCTACTAAAAGCACGATGTTGTGAGCATTTCTTCACAAAGTTCTCTTAAAACACAACTCTAGGGGCTGGGGAGACGACGGCTTAGTGGTTAAGAGCACTGACTGCTCTTCCAGGGGAACTGGGTGCAATTCCCAGCACCCACACAGCAGCTCACAGCGTCTGTAACTCCAGTTCTGAGGACTCTACTGCCCTCTTCTGGCTTCCTATGGGCAGCAGGCAAATAAGTAGTACACAGACAAACCTGCAGGAAAACACCCGTGCACACAGAATTCAAGATGAAAACACCCGTGCACACAGAATTCAAGATGAAAACACCCGTGCACACAGAATTCAAGATGAAAACACCCGTGCACACAGAATTCAAGATGAAAACACCCGTGCACACAGAATTCAAGATGAAAAGAAACCCGCTACTCTGAATGAAACGGTATCGTGTCAGTGGACCTAGTTCAGTTACTCTGTGTTTTCAGTTTCTGTGTTGTTAGCCTTGTACAGCTTCCTTTGTTTTTTCTTTTTTTTTTTAGAATTTACCCCAGGGCCTAAGAGAGACAAACATGGATCCACCTAGGAAGGAGAAAAGACAATCTCCTGAATAAATGGGGAGCTTGGTGGGCAGGGGGGAGGGTGGAAGGGAAGAGGGGAGGAAGAAAGGGGAGTGGGAAAAAAGTATAGCTCCAATAAAAACAGTTTAAAAGAAGAATCTATTCCAGGGTCTAGAATCAACACCACAAAGGTCAAAGACTTCCCAGAGAAGCCCTGATTAATGTACACAACGTGCATCTTCCAGGGTGTGCCCATCTTTGCCAACACAGACTCCACTACACATTTTGCCAACCTGGGAGGCAAAGCTTGGCCCCCTGTGGGCTATGTTCTCTTTTTCCTTTGCCTCACTGTATAGCTGGTTTGCTAGTTTTCCTCTTTGCCCATAGCATCCCTCTTTCGGGTGTTCATAGCAGACACCTTTTTCTGATCTCTTACTGACTGTTCACTCTCTTGTGTTGATGCCTCTGGGTTTACAGATGTCTTTAGTTCTATTTTGCATAGCCAAGTTTACACAAATTGTGGAGAATTTGTTCTCCTGCTTTCTGTTGCTCTATTGCTATGCATGTTGTGTGCTGTGTTGCTCCTTATCTCCTGGAGCCATGGTTTCTCTTCCCATCAGCCCTGCAGCAGGGATGCCTAGTGTGAGGTGAGGCTTGGAACCACACCTAAGGAATTGGACCACCTGGCCTTTGTCTTGTTTGGTTGTGGTTTTGAAATTGGGTCTTTTTATTTAGCTTAGGCTGGCTTTGACTCTACTTTGGCTTCAGCCTCCAGACTGCTGGGTCTGTAGACATCTGCCCCCACACCTGACCCGGCCAGCCTTTGAAAGTGTCAGCCTGTAATTGCCAGACTGCTGGCCATCTCAACTGACCTCTGACTTTGACTCAAGAACTCGGGAATGGTCACCATTTGTGTCTCTCCTTCAGAAGTCTGCCTGCTCTGTGTGTTTCCACTCTGTGGTTTCACCATTGGCGAGGATGATAGGAACTTCCAGGGCTACCCTAGGCTAGGCCATGTCCCTTGACTGCTTTATCTTGCAGCCTTGAGGTAGCGGCCGGTCACAGAGGATCGATTGTTGAGTGCTCCTCCCCCCCCTCCCGCCAGAAGTGCCAGATGTAGCAGGATGGGCAGGCTGGGGCTGGGAAGGTGTGCACTTGCTTGGGCTTCACAGCCTATGCTTGTTCGTCATCCGCAGCTGAACCAATGGCGTTTCTCAGCCCATTAGCTTCTTGGTAAGGAAGAAGCAACACGGCACAAGGACTCGCCACACTCTTGCCTTCTCTTCTCCCCTCTAGTTGCCCCTCCTGCATCGCTCACCATTTCCAGCCTTTGTCACTGCTGGTACCCACCGTGGTTATTCTGACCCCTCCTTCTTTAGGATTGTCTCTCATGGCCAGGCCTCACCATCTTGGCTGTTTTCCATCCTGATTTTGTGCTCTCTGTCACAGCTCTGGATTTTGCTGTACCAGAACCCATTTCTGCTGTGTTCCACTCTCAAGGGCCAGAGGTCAACAGCAGGTGAGGTTTATGCCTCAACCTTAAGCTTTTAGTTCAACCTCTCCTTTTCTATCCTTTCTCTGGCCTCAGATGGTACCTGTCTGTCTCTTTGCTATGGTCTGAACCCTTCTGCTCTTCATAGGATGAGAACTATGGCTCATGAGCACCAGGGCTCTGCGTGCTTTGGCAACTCCGGAGAGAAGCCTGCAGCCCACGCTGTGTAGACAGAAGCTCCAGCACCCCATCCCTTCTTTTCTCCACAGAGAGGTAGTAGATTGAGGTCTAACCTGTTACCTCTAGGCCATGTCAGCCCACTTCCGATGGGAAGGACAGGTAGGCCAGCACATCAGTAAAACAATAGTGTGTTCCCAGCTGGCTCTGATCACACATAGAATCCCACCCAGCTAACAGATGTCAGGAACAGGCTGCTTGATGCCCTGAGCCAACCTTAGTGTCTCAACCATGTGTCACCGCTGCCTTCTGACCTCAGTGGCGTGAGAAGGCATGCTCTTCCTTCTATTGCAGAAAACAGCTGCAGCATCTGGAGCCCCAGGGTGTCTGAGGCATCCGGGGGCATCAGTCCTACACTGTACTTCAGAGGGAAGAGGAGGCAAGTCAAGGGACAGGAGTCGCAGAGGCAGTGCTCTGGGCACAAACCTCACCTGGCCCCAGCATGCTCTCCTGAGGTTTCTGAAGACAAGAACCTCCTGTGGGGCTCAGTAGGGGACCAGCGCTGGGTGAGGCTGACAGGGAGACTTGATCTGTAAGTCCAGCTTTGATCTGGTGGCTGTGGAGCTTGGGACCATAGGCCTTGGAGCTCTTGCCCTCTATGCCAGGCTATGCACACCGAGTGCTATTCCTTCAGGAACCACGCAGGGCCAGGCACCGGGTGTTGTCCTGGACACTGCAGCCACCATTCCTAGTCAGGTGTGTATGCAATCCATGTCTGCAGGGATCACAAAGGCCCCATCCACTGCACCCTCTGGAAGGAGAACAGGAATGACTAGAGATGAGGCACAGTGGTGCCATCAAGCCAGCTGTTCGCAAGTGATATCTCAGGGGCTGGCACAGGGCAAGATTAGGACTACAGTATGGATGATCTACCATAGTCTGGCTGCGTCGAGGCAGGGTTCTCCCATGAATCCCATCCTGGCACTAGTCACATGACCTCCCAGGTCGAAGGAATCCCTGGGAAGACAGTGGCAATCTGTGTAGTACTGTATATAGCCGTGTACATAGGGTCTAGCGCCTGTGTATATAACAGGCTTCCAGGTAAGGGAGGTCCTTCTAAGTGATGGGCCTCCAGCTGGTGTGAACTGGCCTGGCCAAAGGAATGGCCATGGCCGCAGGGTCCCCTGTAACAGTCCTTGCAGCCTGCCCCTCAGCCCTGACTCCATCTTCTCTCTAGCCTGGTCACTTGGCAGCTCCCACATCTCATGACCAACCACACCCTGCTCCTTATGCAGCTGCATCCTCCAGCAAGTGCCCAGAAGAGATCGGCTGGTTTCTAAGGTGGGGACTTGCTGGCCAGAGCCACTCCTCAGCTGCCTTTCCTTATCTCTGTCTGTGCACTCAAACCAGAGGACCCGCTTCTGCATCCCTCTGTGTTCTGCCTCTGGTCACTGTTTGCTTCCTTGGGCCACAGCACTTGCCCCTGTGCTATGACATCTCTCTTGATTCTTTCCAATGTCCAGTCTCTTAACATTGCAGCATGACACTGTCCTCTACAAAGTTCACACTCAAGAACTTGGGTCAAACGTAGTGGTGCACACCTTTAATCCCACCATTTTGGAGGCAGAGGCAAGCAATTTTCTGAGTTTGAGGCCAGCCTAGTCTACATGTTGAGTTCTAGGCTAGCCAGGCCTACATAGTAAAGATCCTATATTAAAAAAATATATATGTGCCGGGCGGTGGTGGCGCACGCCTTTAATCCCAGCACTCGGGAGGCAGAGGCAGGCGGATCTCTGTGAGTTCGAGACCAGCCTGGTCTACAAGAGCTAGTTCCAGGACAGGCTCCAAAACCACAGAGAAACCCTGTCTCGAAAAACCAAAAAAATATATATGTATCAGCCAGGCGGTGATGGTGCATGCCTTTAATCCCAGCACTTGGGAGGCAAAGGCAGGCAGATCTCTAAGTTCAAGGCCAGCCTGGTCTACAGAGTGAGTTCCAGGACAGCCAGAGCTAACAGAGAAACTCTACCTTGAAAAATCAAAATAAAAAATGTTTAAATAAGCTTCTAGTTCTGGACTGCAGTTCAGACACACCTTACACCATGCCATCAGCACAATTACTGCTTTTGTTGAGCCAATGGGGCACTTTGCCAGTGCGGTCTTGGGTATTCTGTGGCTGCCTTTGAGCAGGCATTTCTATGGTTACCCCTGCTGATCCATGGCTGCAGTGGCCTGCCCTAGCTGATTCCAGCTGCTGGACCACCTGCTAGAGCCATCCGCAGTGTCTCCCAGCAAGTTTATGTGGCATGGTGCTGCTACTCCTGTGTCTGGGTGGGACTTAGAAGCCTCATTAGGGGAATGCTCTGGCTCAAGGCCAAGTGGAAGTTAGCAGCACCATGGCTGTTGCTGGCTGTTTTTACTCTTACTTTTTTTTAGCTTTTTTTCTGGGGGGGGGGGGCACCACTCAGCTCCCAAATCACATGAAGAGGATTATTCTTAATTTATGAATACCAGCCTTAGCTTGGCTTGTTTCTTGCCAGCCTTTCTTAATTACCCTATCTTTTGTCTCAGAGCTTTTATCTTTTTCTATTCCTTACACTTTTCCTTTCCTTCTTACTCCATGTCTGACTATGTAGCTGGGTGACTAGCCCTTCAATCCTCTTCCTTCCTCTCTTGTTCCCAGATCTTTTTCTCCCAGATTTCTCTTCATATTTATCTATCCTCTCTGTCTGCCAGCCCCTCCCATTTCTCTCTCCTGC